GGGGGGGGAGGGCGGAGTGTGTCTGTATCAGGGGAGAGCTCAGGGTTCGCCGGAGGGTTAGACACACATCAGTGGCACATGGAGAACCCTGGGGGTGGAAATGTCATGAGATGCTGCAGAGGGGGGAGCTGGGCTGCAGGCACGTGCTTCATGCAAAACCTGAAAGAGAGAGAAAAGGGACAGCAGCTGCTGGGGGGTTGTCAATGGCCTGTGATATCAGTCAAGATCTGGTGTCACTCAGGTCTCAAACTCGAGGGTTAGACACACATCAGTGGCACATGGAGAACCCTGGGGGTGGAAATGTCATGAGATGCTGCAGAGGGGGGAGCTGGGCTGCAGGCACGTGCTTCATGCAAAACCTGAAAGAGAGAGAAAAGGGACAGCAGCTGCTGGGGGGTTGTCAATGGCCTGTGATATCAGTCAAGATCTGGTGTCACTCAGGTCTCAAACTCCATGACTTTAGCACAGCTGCCTCTTGCCCAGCTAGCTCCCCCTCTGTCTAGCACCTTACATGTCTCTCCTCCTCCGGAGACCATCCCAGCCCTCAGCTGACACGCAGCAAGGAAAGGCAGGGTGCATGCTGCGTGCTGTGTTTGAAGAGCAAGGCCACTCGTGGAAAGGGGTGAGCGAGATGTGAGCGATTTGAAAGGGCTGAGTCCAGAGTGAATGGTCCAGAGCGAAAGTTAGTATCAACACCAGCCTTAGCTTAGTGATACGGCTATATGCTCAGGGGGGAGAGCTAGAGGTTGGCTGATCTAATTCCCTTCCTCTAAGACCAGTAGAGTTTGGCTGGTATAAGCTGAATCCGTGCTAGGAGCGCTCTGCCAGTACAGGCTGTGCAGCCTAGTGGAGAGACATCGAGACTAAGGACACTTGGGTTTAATTCCCGGCTCAGCTGGGCGACACTCGGCCCCCATCCCTGTGTCACAGATTGGGATAATGAGACGGACTTTCTCTGCAATGCGCTTCCCCATGCCAAGCACTGCACCAGACAGGAGTGGTGGCGCCAGCTGATCGGAGGTAGCTGCAGTGTCTCTTCAGCCTCCCAGGGTGGGAATCTGCTCCGCTTCCTCCTTCCCACTCGCAGGAGGGACGGTTGAGTCCCGTGGGAAGCAGGGGAGCCCCCGGACGCAGCCGGCAAAGGAACCAGCCCGACGTGCCTTGCTGGGCTCATTAAATCCCAAGGGGTTTGAGCCAAAGGCAGGTGGGGGCGGGCGGGGAAGGGGGGGGCCCCGGGCCCCCCCCGCGCCCCC